CGTGACGTGTCAGTGCTGTGACCGGCACGTGATCCGCCCGGCGAAGCTTAAAAGATTCAGAATTTATGCAATAATTGCATGTTCATCCTCTGGAAATTCTGCCATTTCGACCTCACGTGAACTCAACTGCACTGTGGGAACACGGAGAAAAATACTGACCGGTGTGAATTGAAAACACTGTGAGCTCACGTCAGTGAGAATCACTGGCACGTCACGTCTCTGTCACGTCACGGCTGGGGGTGAATGGACCTTAACATGTTGACGGTCCGGTACGAGAACATGAATGAAGGTTTATAGGCAGCCAGTGGATAGTGAGGAAGGGGGAGGGGGCGCGGTGTCGCTTTAATTCTCTTCATGCGCGCTTCGAGATTATGGCGGTTGGGTACTACTACGAGGGTACTACGATATGTATTCTAAATACTTACTTCGACGAGGACGGAACATGATTGTGGTTATACATACGTCATTTTGTAAGAATTTATAATTTCGTAATTCCAGCTCAGTTTGTACAGCTTGTGGTGTCATTTCAATTACTGTCTGAAGAGGGTGTTTTAATTGCTTGTAGGTCCCGTCAAAAGAAGTTTATATAACAAAAATTACATATATAAAAGTTGCATAATAAGACAAATAGTAAAAGACTAAAGATTTTAAAATATAGAATGTTATTACACAGATTTTTTGATATTCTTGACCATTGCCATGTATAATCTCAGCTTTGGTTTTCTACTCTTATCGTTTATCTAAATTTGGCGAACTTTTTGTGTTATTGTATGGCTTTCAGCGCGCGTCTTTGGTCAGTTGTATCAGTCTCTCAATAGTGCATATACTTTCGTTTGCCTGATTATTTTGTGCGAAGAAGTTACCCATCAATTGCAGGCATAGTAGTCCTCATATAAACCACCAGTTGTATTCGTTAAAAACCTTCTCAGGCATCTCAATTATTTTTGTTTTGTTTTTCAGAGCCGCTGCAAATGGGAACGCTAGTTAGCGTAGCAGGTGCTCTTCTAGTCGCATTTTTAATTCTGATATGCGGCTGCATCTACGCCATCAGGTCGGAGAAATGCTGCTTTGCCCGTAAGTAGGACATTTTTTTCTTCAAATAGCATAATATACAGGGTGGACGTAAAGTTGGGGTTTTCCTTTTCAAACACAACTACGCTTGATATAACAGAGCTATGTCTGGTGAAACGTGAGACAACAAGTAAAAAAAAAATAGATGACAAAGTACTCACTGTCCAGTTGAATTGAAATTCCAACTACGGCTCTGTCGTAAAATCCGTATTTATATCGTAGTCGTACGTCGCTGGCGCTGGCGTGCTGTGGACGTGATCGAGGGATAGGACAGGACCGGCTTCGGTTTGATTCAGGTTTCATTGAGTTTGCGGAGCCCAATATCTCGGTTCTACTAAGGCATTGGTGTATATGCTACTTAGAAAATCCTCTTTTTTTCACAAGACTCACTCGTCGTGTAAACGAGAACCCCAACTTTGCGGACACCCTGTATTAATTTCCATAACAAACAGGAAGTTGCATACGTACATGTGATTAAGCAAATGTAGAAGATCGAAGCTCTTAATGATATTGAAGCTTTTGACAGTTTCTTGAGGTTAGCTCAAAAACATTAATAGAAATGAAATCAAGTGCTCGTGCTCGATCCCCAGAAAGGATACTCCATGCAGTATCGCTGGCAACTTAAAAATACCTCCTTCAGAATAGGTTCCTTTATTTGTTAGCCAATACAAAGATGAATCAGTTCTGTACTAATTCTTTAGCTTTTACGTACGTGGCATTGCTCCAAAGCTTCGCCAATTGCGATTTTTTAGAGCGACTTAACAAAAGCTGTATAAAGTGATTATTTGGGCTTACTCGTAATTCACCGTAACCAAAAAGGCAGCTTTCATCCCAAATTAGGCTTTACCGTCTTGATAGTTAAAATGCCACATGAGAATACTATCAATTTGCATAGCTTGTACTTAAATTACTACAGTTATTTCAGTTAACCCTAAAAACGCCAAAATATCACCTACAATAATTTGATTACCATTCTGACAAATTATAAAGTTTTTTTTTCCATCGTGCCTCAAAACAAAATGTTGTCTATCTTGTCAGGAGAACGATGGTTTATATTTCTGGAAAAAACATCCGTGGAGGTAGTATTTTTCGAATGATACAGAAGAGTTTAGTTCTTAACAAATTCGAGAAGCCGTCCCTTGACTAAGTAATAACTTTAATTAGTAGTCCAAAATTTATCAATGAAGGGAATATGGTGATATTGTTCTTTATGGTTTTGCAGCGCGCCCAAAATTTCGTGGCTTTCGCAATCATCGAAGTTGATACGTCTAATTAGCTACATATCGAAAAGAACAAAACCGACAGTGACTAGGCTTCATGCACTCCATTATATGGAAGCTCGTAGTAAATGAAGCAAAACGTCAGCTGAGCCATTTTTCTTCAAGGATGACGGAAACAGGAACCAAAGAGCGAACGCTGTTCCCTATTCGAAAATTAGGGGTTCATATTGACAATGAAAAAAATATTTTTCTGGAATGACTTGTCTAGACTCTACTTATGTTTTATAGATGCCCTAACGCTGCTTACAGAACTGCTCTTATAAAACAACAATGCCGCTGTAGAAGTTCTAACAACGTGTATATAAAGCTCATAATACCAAAATGGTGCGCTCTTGAGCAGCAATTGAGTTCTTTAATTTGTTTCATTATGTTTACACGTTTTTAAAATTATTATAAAGCATAGTACGCGACGGTTATAAAACAGTTTTATTGAGAACAGCTATAGAACTAGAATAACACAGCTTTATAAAAGTTATTCTATAATCCTAGATGCAGCTTTCTTGTTTTGACTGACATTGGAAGTTTGCTTTTATTCTTAAATTGCAGCTCCTGAGAATAATTTGTTTTTTAATGATCCTTGATATAACCAAAAGGCAAGCGTTAGATCTTTTTGACAAATAACAGACGCATTTACTGGCATTTACTGGCCATTTCTCAGCCAATAACTGGATTATTTGGCGAGATGTGTGCGAAGTTGCACCGTCTGGTTGGAACCAATGGTCGTCGGCATCAATATCTTCCAATTTCCGCCAAAAAATATACTTCATCCTACCACGATAACGATCGGCGGTGACCGTAATGGCTTTTCTTCTTCATCCACGAAAAAGAACGGTCCAATGAGGCCACCAGCCCATAATTCGCACCAAACAGTCACTTTTTGATCATGGAGAGGTAGTTGGTGGATCTCGTGTGGATTTTCCGATCCCGAATCCTTCAGCTTTGCTTATTCACGTGGCCACTGAGGTAAAAATGTGCCTCGAATGAAAAGATGATTTTAACCGAAAATCCCTCTCCTTTTCCAAGCATCCAGTTGACAAAAATACGCCGTTGCTGATGGTCCGCTGGTTTCAATTGTTGAGTTAGTTGGATCTTGTATGGGTGTAGGTGGAGATCAACATGCAAAATCCTCCATAATCGTGTTGGACTGATGTATGTTACAATTCTTGCGAACGGTGTCTTATCGAAGTTAAGGCGGCTCAGACGCAGTGAGTTTCATGCCATTTACAAGGGTTCAGCTGCTTCAAAACTGTCACTCCATTTTTCAATATTTTTGAATGAAATTTATACAGTATGTTGAGAAGATAATTGCTTGGGGTGCTATAGGAGCACTTTTTGGAATTTTGTTTTTGCACAAGTTTGATGATGGGTTGAAATGTGCACGTTTTACCTGTTTAACTTTGCGATTTTTTCAAAAAGAACCCAGTACAAAAAATGAAAAAGTGGCTCTATAGCATCCTGTGGGATTTTGTTTTCAGCACTCTGTGAAAATTTCATCCAAAAATATCAAAAAATACAGCATCAATTTCGAAGCGCGCAAACCTCTACAAATCGTATTTTGGACGAATTTTGTCTACTGTTTGGTGCTGCCAACCCAAGCGTTGCGGCGCAATGTATGGACTAAGAAAGGACGTATTCAGACAATTTGGTGGCCCTACTTCAGATAATATCGCGTAGATAAGACGTTCTGCAGAAAGGTACTCATATTCGCGATCGCTGATACTCCTCGATTTTAAAGCCTTTTTACTTTCCCCGTCATTGGCGAGGAAGTATTGTAATCGCGAAAAATTTCTAAACTGAGATATTATGCTTTTTTAAGTCATATGACATCTACATGACGAAAAACTGTATCACTCACCATCAACATGGAAATTACCGCTCGGACAATAGAATGTCAAAAAAAATCGGCATAATCGGCAGAAGCAAACTGCAACTGAAAACATCCCTCCATCTTGCAAAATCCGCATCTTTTTACACTTATAATTAAATATAATTTTTGTTTTCATTCCACGAAAACGGGAGTGTGCCGATTTTATATGTATGGTGAAATCACAGATAAAAGGAGAAGCAACGAGGTTATCAGCTTTTTGTACCTTAACAAGTTTCTTCCGCACATTATTCGCGAACCGTATTTTTTTTCAGATAGCAAATTAAGAACTCGGTGCTCGTACAGTTGTTTTTGCATACATGTATTAATATGTACCTACTACTGAAGGAAATTTAAGGGTAATGGTTCACCAGTTTCTCGAGCCTATTACAGATGTCTTGGACTGATAGAAAAAGAAAAACGTAAAAAAGAAGTAGTTTATACGACCAAGGGATGGAAAGACTTGATAAAAAATACTTCAAAGAAATTCACACTCGTAAATGAGAGCCAGGATATGATCCTCAACTTCACCCAGCACTTCATTAATCGTTTTAATTAAATGTCACAAAAGGAGAGATTTGTCATATCAAAGTACCGCATTTTCAACTATGAAAAGTCTGACGTTGTAACAGGTAATGTATCTGCCGGTATAACCTTGTTCTCGGACTTTTGTGAAAAAACTGCGACGTATTCGTTATCACCAAACAAACTATACCAGACTTACCCTCTACCTATTAACCCAAAAAAGCTTGAAAATGTGCAATTTCTAGCTGAAAAATATGTACCCAAAAACGACCAGTGGTACTATGATACAGTATTACAGGCTGTTGGCCCGGAAATAGTACAACAGGACAGTGAAGACGAAGACGTGGATATTAACCCTTAACCCGCGAGGTTGATTAATTTAACGTTAATCGCGAGTATCGGTATGTGATACCGCTTTAGATTTTTACATATAAAATTAAAAGCATAGTGTAAATATTTGAAGGTTTTATTAATTTTTTTACAAAATAAAGCAAAACAAAAAAAATTAGCTGAATAATAATGACATTCTAGACAAAAGATTGCTAGTTTTCAGTGATCTTCTTGGGCGGCGACACAGTTCTTACACATTTTGCTGGCATGCTCGAGGCAAATCGGTTGCTGACAAGAGTAGCATTTGTAAAACGTCTTTCTCTTCTTCTGGTATGGACACAAAAACCAAGTTTTCTTCACTTCTAGCCGTCTCTTGACGTTGATGGTTCGTTCCTAAGATCGTCGACTCCAAGAGCGCCTTTGATAAGAGCTTGAAGTTCTTTGTTCAATTTTGGATTTTCAAACCTTTTTGCAATATGAGGCTTTACGAGTTGCATCGCTAGTTCTTCAATAAACAGACGTCTGGATTTTGGTGTAATGTCTTTGTAATGAAGAAATAAAACGAATGCATTATTGGTAGATATATCTATCAGTCTATAAAATATTGCTAAGGGCCAACGACGAGTACGACGGTCGGAAGAATAATTTTATGTCGAGAGTATCAACGCCACCTTTAGTCGCATTGTAAAATGATATTATTTCAGGAAGAGCGTTATCGGTGTCGGTTGCTTTAGAATGATGGGCTGAAGACACGAATAATACAGCTTTATTTTTTTTGGAACGTGCGATATTAGTGTGAATGCATCATTGGAGAACCCATATAACGTAGATACAACTGGTCGTTTGGGCGATGGTAAAAATTCTGGAGATATCTCCCGCTTGTTCTTCGACAATGTCCCTGTGTAAATTAAGCCTTTTTTGCGTAACTGATGAAGCAGCTATATTGAGGTAAACCAATTATCAACAGTTATGTTTCTGTTTGTTTTTTCGATAGGCTTGACTAACTAACTAACTTTCGCGGGTTTGTTAGGCATGTACATTTTAAAAGAGCATCGCCCTCGGAAACTGATTAACATTTCGTCGATGCATGTTGTTGGACCCAAATTGAAGCATTTTTGTGAATTATCGATGAAACGGTTGAATAGAAAGGACATTGCCGCTGCTGAGTCCTCCTGACACCGTTGGACTCTAGTGGAAGCATCATCAAACCTCATACATTTGAGTAACTTTTCAAATCTTTTGGAAGAAATTACTGCTCTGAATATGGGACGACCTGTACACGTATTTGAAAATAATGATAGCGTATTTTCATGGTTCGACCGTAATATAGATGTTAGCATAAGAAGACCGATAATAGCTCTTATTTCAATAAGGTTAGTATTCTTGTAATCTGTGGTATTAGAGTTCTTGTGGGTAGATCTTACTATTTCCAATTTTTCATTTGTTCGCAATACGATTTCATTTAGCGTCTCGTTGTCGAATAAAAGGTTCCAAATTTCACCAACATCAGGACTGTTCCCCAAACGACTTGCTGCTGGTTTAAGACTGGGCAATTTGATTATAATGTTATGCTTGGGCGTTCTTAGAGCTTTATTGGGTTCTTCGGACTTCCAAATATAACCGTTTTTACCTTTATAACTGACTACACCTGTAACATGATCACTTTGCACATTATCGCGGCTCGAATTCGAATCTTCTTGCTCAAAAGTGGAAGAACTATAATTTCATCTTCCTGCAATGTTTCGTCATTGGAAACTTCTAAATCAGAAGAGTCATTTTGTTCGTCATCAGATTCCAATTCATCGAACCATTTTCTGAGCTTTTGCTCATAGTCTTTGTCACCAAACTTTACTCACTCTAAGCCAGATGCCATGATCTGAAATAAAAACAAACTTTGGGAATTGATTTACAAAATCACTGGATTCGAATATAATATGTTATTTCAATAACCCAAATTTTGAAAAAAATAAATACCATAATAACATATTCCAGAATACGAAATATTAGCATACAGCTCTCATACTCAACTCTGTGAAAATTTATTTTTTTACGCACAAATATATATTGATTCACATAAAATATTTTGTACTAAGCACTACTATTTATTTTTATCTTCTGAACTGTTTTTTTTCGTTTTAGATACGGAGCCATTTTTCACGTAAACAAATAAGAATAAGATAAAAAACTTACCACGACTCAATCACACATAAACACATAAGATCCAATAAAACTAATATTTGCTTGACTGGACGTGTATCCAAAAGTTCTACGCTATACGCGACAATCGGTATGACGGACCGCCAGGCTTCAAAGTATCACTTCCGCAAATCGGTTTTGAGAATACTAATTACAGCGCCGCTTTCCCCAATTCGACATCACACCATATACTGAAGCTAGGTGGGGGCTCAAGGTCATGAGTTCATTCTGACCGCAGTTATGGAAGGTTGAATTTTGAATAGCGGTACAGGATACCGTGCTCGCGAGTCAAGGGTTTAAATGTTTTTAATTAATATTTCTTTTGTTATGCCATGTCCATTTTGTACAAAATAGTCCTTCTGCTTTATTTTGAGGCAAAAAACGACCAGCTCCATTTTCTTGTATCGCACTTGACGGAAAAAATATCAATACTCACATCTTTTTCAATGCAGAACTGTCTATCAGTATCCTTTTTCTATACATTTAAACAACTTACTCTCAGTTGGTCCGCTTTCTTACTTTAAAAAAGAGTTTTTCGTTATGAATACGTTAGATCTTTTTTGCATCAAACCCTTCAATTGAAAAACTTGGGACGCTGCTAATCTTAGGCAGTACGTATGTTCAGATAAACCGAAACCGTCGGTAAAGCAAAAATATCGATTTGTTGGATGCCCATCGCGAATCTTCTATCCAGTTGATCACTGTTCGGGATAAACCGCCGGTACGTGTATCATACGCAGTTGATAGGACAAACACATTTCCGAGATCCCAGTGTTGCTCTAAATGGCTCCGCTCTTCGTCCAGCGATTTCCACCAACGGCGCCGTATCGCGATGTATATCGCACTCCAGAGTCGGAATCTATCGCTTTTCCTAGTTGTACAATATTCTATTACCATCATCCGAACCAATATGGACTGCGAAATCGATAGCTGTTCGCGCCTGGATCCCAAAATGCGCCTTTGTTGAATAACCCTACTGAAAGCAGGGTCGTAGATATTATATATACTAAGTGACATATAAATCCGAACACCCAGTTTAAATGGTTTTATTTTAATAAAAGTTGGTGAATGTATTTATCTTACTGTTAATAACAAGTGAAAACATTTTCAGCCTTATCAGTTGGACATTCCGGTTTTTATACTGCTTTTTTTTAATTCACTAACGCTCTAAAAATGAATATTTCAGCCGCAGTAAAGCATCAACGTTGGCGGATTTTGGTTCTTGACATCCTTTACGATCGGTTACGATGCCTAGAGTACGGAGACCTGTACGATTTCGTCAACTTAGTGAGTTTGATAGGGGCCGTATAGTGGGACTTCGGGAAGCTGGAGTTTCTTTTCGGGCAATTGCAGTTAGAATGCAAAGAAGTGTAGACACTGTGGTTAGGTGTTGTCAGGCATGGCTTCGAGAAGGCCGTACGCAAAGAGCAAGGGGCACTGGACGCCGCCGTAGAACAACAGACCGTGAAGATCGCCGCCTAAGATTATTGGCCTTAAGGGACCGTTTCTCCACTACCAGGTCCATTGCAAATGAATGGTTTGCTGAACACGGAAGACCTATTGGCATGCGTAGTATTTACCGACGAATGAGAAGTTGTGGCTTGTTTTCATACCGGCCACACTGGGTCCTCCCTTTAACTCGAGAACACCGACGTAATCGCCTTGAGTGGTGCAGACAACGGTCCCTCTGGGATCTGGAATGGAACAGTATTGTCTTTAGTGACGAGTCTCGATTTTGTTTAGGCATGCACGATGGTCGTGCCAGGGTTAGAAGGCGACGTGGTGAAAGGAGGAATCCACAGTTTTTTGTTGAAAGACATGTTCATCACACTGTTGGAGTTATGGTTTGGGGTGCTATAGCTTATGTTTCCAGGTCACCTTTAATCTTCACCAGAGGTAACATGAACGCGCAGCGTTATATCCACGAAGTTCTCGAACCCCATCTTTTACCCTACTTTGACACCCTGGCAGATCCAACTTTCCAACAAGATAATGCGCGACCACATGTTGCAAGAGTCACAATAGACTTCTTTCAACATAATGATGTCACATTGTTACCATGGCCACCAAGATCTCCCGACTTATCCCCAATTGAGCACGTGTGGGATATGATGGGTAGGAGATTGCTCAATTTGCAACGTCCTCCTCAGACTCTAGAAGCACTTCGAGAGGAGTTGGTGGTTGCCTGGAATGAGATACCACAGGAGGACATTGACCACCTGATCAGAAGCATGCCTAGGCGCGTTGGAGGATGCGTAGCACATCAGGGTGCATCCACACATTATTAAAGGTCAAAGGGCTTTAAAGCAGTGTAATCATTTTGAATTTTTTATCATTTACTTATTATGCTTCATTAAGTACTTATACAAAATTTTATTAAAATAAAACCATTTAAACTGGGTGTTTTATATGTCACTAAGTATAGTATATACTCGGTAGAAATTGCTTCATCAATATCATCCCGAATATCGAAAATTCTGTCTTTGAACATTTTATAAGCTCGTAAAAAGAATAATCTGTTCAGCTTGTGTAAGAAAACCCTCCACCAAAGTTTAATCTCAACAGGGCAGATATAATGTACGAAGGTGAATCAAATATGATCAGTACTTTTGTTTTAGTAATTTTATTGGTATAGTAGACACAAGCTTATTTACATCTTATTTTTCTACACAATCTCCTCTCTTATTGTTGCATTTTTCCGATCGCATCGGAAGTTTTTTAATTTCCCAATCAAAGAACGAAGCTGGTCGTGTCAGTAGCCAATTTTGCACGAATGTTTCCATATCTTCGTCGTCGTCAACGTGTTCGTCTTTTTCGCCAGGCCAGTTTCACTTCTTTAAGCAGTTGGTTGTAGTAAGCAGCATTAACTGTAAAACGATCGTGAAGGAAATCAACTAGCAGTACACCTCTGGAATCCCAAAATACCGTTGTAAGAGGTTTTCCTGCGGAAAGAGCTGTTCGCGGTGCTGCCTTTCCAGACACTTCATGAAAAAAAATTGCCAGATGTATATTTGTGTCCTTGGAACTGTCTTAAAACCGAACTGTGCTGTTAATCGACGCAGAATTTCGGAAGGTTTTAGGCCCTTCCGCGACATATATTTTAAGACAGTACGTTGCGCAACTGACGTGTACACCTCTTGCTCAGACATGATGCTTTTAACAGCTCATCTACTCAAATCGACTGACTCCCCTGTTCCTGACATCCCCACTCGGCATACAGGGTGGCGCATCGAAAACGAAACAGACCGGCAGCTCAGTTTTTTTTTTGGAAAAACGCTCAGACCCGTCGATTTTGTTTTCGAGGGGGACACAAGTTTGGCAAAAAATCACGATAGCACGTGCAGCCCCCTAAGCGGGGGTGACAGCACCCCCAAAATCTTAAATGAAAAGGGGGGTCGAGTGATACCTTATTTTAAAGGTCTTTCAATTTCCTTTATAATGATATAAAATTAATGTACTTCAGTTCAGTAGTTTTGAAGATTTATTGATCTAAAGCTTAAATAAAATTAATACATCATCATTAGTGGAGATCAGTACATTTGTCAGCAAAGTAATATAAAAATAAAGGATAGGCTAGTAAATGTTGAAAATGGCCACCATGACTCTCCATGCAATAATAAAGATTTTGCTCAAAACGTTGCCGCACATTTTGCAATATTTGAGGAGTAATTTAAAGGCACTCATTCACAATTCTTTGTCGCAGCTCTTCTAATGATGTTGGCTGAGTAGCATAGATCTTGCTTTTTAAATGACCCTACATAAAGAAATCCAAAGGTGATAAATCTGGCGATCTTGGGAGCCATTCAATAGCACCTCTTCTACAAATTTATCGATCTGGAAACGTCTGATCTAAATATTGTCTAACACGTATTGCATAATGTGGTGGGGCACCATCCTGTTGGAACATCAACCTATTCGCAATGTACCGCCGATCATTCTGATTTTCAATTATGGCTGTTAATGCAGGATCTATGGCGTCTTCCAGTAATTCCAAATACATTTCGCCAGTCAAATTTCCAGGTAAGAAGAAAGGACCAACTAAATGATCGCCAAAAATACCGGCCCAAACATTTAATTTTTGTGGCTGCTGTGTATGAACCTTACGATAAATTCTGGGATTAGA